AGGATGGGTCCGCTCTCTCTATGCAAAATGCAGCATTTTGCATCCAGCTTCGTGGCGTTTGGTGGTGGCAGTCTTCCCTGGCTACGGAGGACCCATTCCGTGCAATGTGTCCGCCCAAAATCGGACTCAGCTGTGCGCACGTGGCTGATCCTGCAGTGAGGGACGCACAGAGCATGGCGCCATGAATTGAACATGTGCAGCACACACGTTCTGTTGGATCCAGGCGGTCCGGTCTGAAGACAAGGGTGCCAGGTGATACAGCAGCATCCTGTTGCGTTGGCGGGCAAGGGTGGTACGGTGCATGCACATGAGGGCAAGGGTCAGAAGCGATGTCCTGCCAGGTAAGGATCGTGTGCGCGTCGCCGCATATCGATACTTCAGCCTGCAAAAACAGTGAATACATATCAGCAGTTGTGTACATTACAGAACTGAAGTGGTCAATCCAAAACCCGTGACAAACCCATAAGAAAGGGCAAGAAAGATCGCTTGGCCGGCCTTCACGCCTGTGCTTGGGTGCTGGCAGCGGACGTGGCATGGTCCGCTTCAGTATCGCGTCATCGATGGCCGAGCCCTCTGCCTGAACCGACACACTGCGTGTGGCTGGCACCGCCTGGCAGGCTTGACTTTGGACATATACTCCGGAGCGCGGTGTAACAGCAGGTGGAGGACGATGTGGTGTTCCGGTGCTGCAGCTGGCTTCAGGCTCTGAGGAGTTGCTGGGGTCTTCTGTAGGCTCAGATCCAGCCTCAGACCCTGACCCAGTGATAGGCTGCGCTTGCAGGGTTGGCAGCTCTTCAAGCTCACTGTCCGGGCTGTCAAGCATCACATCAACCATAGTGTCGTCAGGAACCCAAGCCTCGCCAGTCTCGCCTGCCGTGTTCACCGTGTACCCGAGAAAGATCTCCGCTGGTGTGCCACTTAGCGCGGTGGCTCCGTCTGCAGGAGAGGGGTCCGTCAGACCCTCGTGGCCTGTGTCTTCCGCAGCAGCAGTGATCGTTGGCGGCCCATGGAGCAGCTCGTGTAGAAGGTTCGTGGGGCCAGGGCGAACCTTCGGCTTGCGACCAAGAGTCGGTGTGGCAGGTGCAGCGGTCTCATTTGGCAAGGGCGGCACCCAGCTGGCAGGGCCGGCGCCAGTCACTTCAGATGATGCTGCAGGTGCATCAACCGGGGCTGCCAACGGGGCAGTCAGGCTTGGCATGTCGGCCTCAGCCAAAAGTTCAGCGTAGAGCTCGTCAACCTCCGGGCCCGCCAGCACATGCAGGAAAATCCAGAAAGACAGCAGGAACCGCGGAAGAAATGCCATGGCGATGCAGCAAGAGGCAAGGGCCTCAGGCTCTTCACTGGGCCCAGGCTGAGCTCCAGTGGAACTGCAAGCTAGCAAGCTACCCCGCCCACGGCCGGCCTGCCCGAAATCAAACCAGAAGAGAGGGAGGACCAGGACCCACACCCGGAACCCACCCCAAACACCACCGAAAGGAAGAAAAGAAAGGGGAGAAAGAGGGAGCGAAGAGAGGAAAAGAGGGAGAAGAAAGCACGAAAAGACACGAAAAAAAACCCCACTACCAAGTTGCTACGGCTGTGAGCCTTCTTGGATAAAGCACAACCTCAAGTCTATATGCCGCATGCGCCTGAGTAGCCCCTCCATGCTGGCGATTTGCCTAGCTGAGGCAGAGTCAGTATACACGCGGTGGGGTTTCTGGAGGGTGCCCCAGATATGCGCCGTCAATTGCGCAAGTCCTGCCACCTCTTTCGCTGCCTCGGCGATGGCAAACAACTCTGCCTCTGCTGAGCTGAGTGCGACAACGCTCTGCAGGCGGCTGTACCCCTTTATGCAGTACCACGTACTGTCCACTGCAATGTAGATCACACCGCCACTGGTGCTTTTCCGGGCTACGCTCATCTCGCTGCCCCAATTGCTGTCGCAATATGCCACCAGGTTGGCATTCTCCCCCTCATTGGTCTTGCCATCTCCGAGCGGGAAGATTTGATCTAACAGCGGAAACGCTGCTAACCATCGCAGGAACTTGCGAAGTGCATCTTCATGCACTTGCCGTGGCATGCTTTGTCCGCGCGACAACATGGAGTGAAAGTACGTTATATCTGAGCGAGTTTGACAGAGCCAGCCTATCTTCCCTAGGCAACTTCGGAACCGTGAGGCGGCTTCACTCGACAGCTCCTTCGAAGGCTCTTCAACACTCTCCTCATCGTACATACTCCTGATGTCGGGTGTCGTCAAGGATGCTTTCACGGTGGATATGTCCCATCCGAAGGATGTAAAGACCGACTTTACATACTCAGGCTTCACCCCAAGCATGATCTGTCGTCCATCCCAACGGATCAAACGGCCGAGGAATTCCATCTGCCCATCTTCGATCAGCCTGCCTGTCACTTTGACTTTCAAGACTGAACTCAGGGCTTCGTGGACGTACTCGAACCCTTTCTCGGTAGAGGACACAATGAGCAAATCATCCACGTACGCTAACATGATGATATACTCCCATCCGGATTCAAGGTTGACCCATCCGCTGAAAAGCGTCGGTTCGAGTGGACTCGCTTGCAAGCCTAGGGCAGACACGATCCTGTTCAGGTGTCGCTGCCAGCTAAGGCTGGCGGAACGCAAACCGTAAAGCGCTGTCTCTAGTATCAAGTACGCGGTTTCGCCGCTCTCGAGCGCGAACGTGCTTGGCAACTCGATAATGGTGGGTTCCACTACCTGCGCAAAGAGAAACGCGGTGGATATGTCGAGGCCGTACGCCCGCATCTTACCCTTCGCCGCCCGTGCAAGGACGATCTTGAGGGCTTCCACTGATGCAGTGTTGGAACTCAACCCCAAGTCGAGTGCGGATGGTCGCCCATGAGCAAAATCCTTAGCGACTATCCTTGCTCGGACTAGTCCTGGGGCCTTCTGGGTGAGGACCCATCGGGACTTGACCGTCCGACAGTTTGGGTTGGCTTTGCGGTATTCATCAATCTCGCTCTTTGATCTTGCATAACCAACTTTCAGACTATCGAGCGCATTCACTTCTTTCTTGATTCCTTGCCATGTCTCTTCAGGGTCCAGCTGGAAACCTTCCAGGTCGTCGTAGCTGGCTCGAGGTCGATTCACCCACAGAGTCCTGTCTTGGATTCTCATGTACGCCCCTGCGGACTCATCTTCCTTTTTCTCTTTAACTGAAGAACATACACATGGGTGGTCCTGGAGATTCAACAACTCAACTGCTTCACGCTCGACCGACTGCTGTTGCTTGTGGTGCTGTCGTTGTGTTGTTGTGTTCAAGCAAACATACGGGAACTTCTCCACGCTCGACTGACCAACAAGTAAGTGACATGCTGCTTCGACGTCGTAGTGGTCACAACAAGAAAGTGGTTGTGGTGTGTAGTGGGCGCTCTCGAGCAATTCCTCCAGGTATCGGACTGGGACCCCCTCATGGAACGTCTGGGATGCTCTAGAGCGTAGCCCATATCCTCATCCTCAGCCTCGGACGGCTGGTATTCGGATACATTCCAGTCAGCATCCGGCGCTGATATCTCCGGGATTTCCAAGTCTCCGACTCCTGCTTGCTCAGGATCAAACGCTCGGACCTCCTCTCCTCCAAAGCGTATTCGCTTGTTTGGCTTCATTTGCTCGTCATCATCGTATGGGTCTTCTCCAATTAGCTCTTCAGGTCTTCGGTCGACCCTTGGTCCTTCATCTAATGCCTCCAGAGCATCATCGATGGAATCACGCAACCATTTCTGGTATCTCTTCACACACTTTTGGGAATGCCTGCTCGAGCTGACGCCTTCTTGGCATCCTGGGCACTTGGGGGTAACGCCATGTTGTCTCACCCAGTCTATGGGAGGACCTCCACCTGGAACATATGGAAGAAACAGCTCCTTGGTCTTTGGTGCTTCAGGCGGGGGCACGAAGCCATCTAGGGCCTTTGCACCGGGCAGAAGATTTGCGTCGAAACGCAACGGGTAGAGCAATTTGAGTCCGGGCGCGATCACCCGTTTCGACTCTCCACTATCCAAGCGGATTTCCATGGCATGACCCGTGCTCCCAAGCACCGGTCCCAAGTAGATCCCTCGAGCATTAGCATCCGCTTCAGGTCTCCTAGCACGCGTTATCTTAGCGTACGCTACCGCACCGAACAGATACGTGATTTGCGGTCGCACGCAATCTCCGCGGATCTTCTGCATTGGTGTTATGGTCGACCCTACAGAAACTGAAAACCTGTTGTGCGTGTGTGCTGCGTATTAAAACAAAAGGTTGAAAACATCCGCGCACTCAGCATCCAGAACAACGCCATGCTCACGCAACTCAAGCTCATGTGTTGCCACGATTCCTTTTAGGGTCCTGATGGCTCGTTCTGCTGCTGGCGCATGCCTTTTGGGTGCAAAGCTGTCCTCAGTGCCCTCGCAAACATCAGCAAGTCTCGCTGCGATGTTCTTCGTGAGTCCCTCTGCATCAGACATGAAATGCGGCTGTTTCACACCAAAGTGCCTGACCCAGGGATGCAAATGCTCTGCTGTTGTTGCTGCGCTCTCTTCCTCAGGTCTAAAGCAAACTGCAATTGCAAAGCTTATGGTATGAACCAATACGATGAATGCAAGCTTGCGGAAGAAGCACTGATCAAGCTGAAACTATCTTGGGTTCAGGTCGCTACGCTTTCGGGCTGGAGTGGTCCCTCTAGTGCGCTGACAAAACTCACAGTCAGACATGTATGGAACGTGACCCTGCATGTGGTGCTGAAGTTCTGCATGTCGATTGCACAGTGTCTCCCACTACGTCTTTCTCTAACATGATGTGGTAACGATTGGGTTCTTTTTCACTCTCAGGCAAAGCATTGACAAAAGGATCTTTTCCCCTTAGGGGGTTGGCGATCGACTCTCTTGCCTGCGACTGTGCTTGCGGCGGCGTCGAGCCATCTCGACAAAAGCGGACGATGCTGCCTTGGCCGGTAAACTTGCCATTAATGGCGCCGTCGTTGTTGGTGGCGCCATGGGTGGTGCCATGGTCACGTAGCCTGGAGCTGGGTGATGGGTGTCTCCTTCTCCATTGGCAATCTCGGCACCGGCGGTGGCGGTGGCAAACTCGGCACAGGTGGTGGCGGTGGGAGAATCAGGCGGGCTTTGGCTGTCGCCCGCTCGCGTTCGGCTTGGGCGTTGAGGATGTCGTGGCTTCGCGCGCGGCGGCGCTCCTCGAACGCTGCTTCCGTCACCAACCCACGCTCCAAATCCTAAGGCTCAGCGGATGGTGGCTCCTTGCAGTTGTCGCTGCCGAGCTGTCCGGACACAGTCCCAGTGCGGCGACACGTTGCACTGTGGCGCGTACCCTCTGGTCCTTCCAGAGACAGCGGAAGCTGTGTGGACTTCTTCGCTCTCATACGGAGGTAGGAGTCTCGGAGAGGGCCCAGGGCCGTGAGGTTCTCTTCCGTCAATCCCTGTCCTTCCAGCCCGCGGGTGGCGTCCGGTGTCGCAGCTCCAGCATTTGCTGGTCGCCACCCCCCAGTTGTCCTCGTCGGAGTCCGACACCAAGATCGTCGCACCCCACAGCCTTCTCCGTGACCACAATCTCCATGCCGTTGTCCGGGGTCGTTGGTCCCGGTACGGTCTCGGATCCCATGGAACTGTCCGGTCCAAGGGCGTGGACTGCGAACCCTCTCCCCTGGCGGGGTCCAATCTCGAGCTCCAGTGGCTCGTCCATCGCCTGCTTCCAGGTGTTCCAGTCGACAGGGACCTGCCGGACTGGCACCTGTTCGGATTGCGCCACCGCCATGTAGCTCTTCATGTTCTCGGTATGCGGCTCCGACATCAGGTGGGACTCTGCTGCTCGTTTCTGACAGACCAGACAATAAGGGTCGTTGGCATCGTTGTTCACAAGTGCCTGCCATGACCCTTCGAAGCGGCGACATATCCAAGTCAACCAGCCTGAGCTCGCGAAGCGACGCTCCGGTGAGGTAGTCCGGAGGTGGCCCACTCGGTTCCCGAACGACGGGCCGCTCCTCCACAGGCTTCCGCTCCTTTGCCAGCTTCTTCTTCTTGGAGTCCACCTTCGGCTCGGGTGCTCCTTCTTGGCCTTCAATGCAGCGTCCCTGGCTGCTCTTGCTTCCATGAAGCGTCGCCAGGCTTCTGGGTCGTTGCCCATCATCTCGTAGCTGTCGGACTTTGCCTCCAGGGCTTTCTCCTCCCTCTGCGGGGTCTCTTTCTTCCTCAGCGTCTTGGGAGTGGCCGCATCAGCATGGGCGCTGCGGCCTTGTGGGAAGACGGCCTCTCCACCATCGTGGGCTCTCTGGCTCGATGGGATGATGGCTGCTCCACCATTTCCACATCTTCGGCTCCTTCCGCCGCTTCCTCTTCGGATGGCGGGGGTGATGGAACATAGATCGTGACCGGAGAAGTCTCCTCTACCGGAGAAGTCTCCTCGTCTTGTAGGGGACCGAGTCGTTCCTCTTCCTCGGTGATCCGGTTCACCCGGTGCTCGTCCACGAGCAGCATCCTGCGCGCTCGCGCTCCTTCTCGCATACCCTCCAGCTCGCTGATAGAGCGGACCATTGTCTCGCTCATGGCTGGCTCCACCTCCATTGGCTCCTCTTCCATGGTGCGCTAAGGCGTCTACCACAAAAGACGGTGGCTCCTGGTGTTTTGGGCATTCAAGGCTTTCGGGTGGATACTTGGGATATTGTTCTTGCAGATCACGATCAAGACACGACAAGGGAATGTTTGCTGCTGCAGCGCTACTGCCACACGCATGCACAAGCCACTCGACTGTTGGTGTGGTGTTGCTTCGCTCCCCATGTGTGGTGATGTTGTGGTCTGCACAAGAAAACAAACATGTATGACTGTCAAGCTCATGGAAAACTGGCATGTCCGCATGACTGAAAGACTCAAAGGAACTAGGCGCGGCGCTCAAAAGCTCATCAACGGCCCTTAGTTTCTCCTTAGTCTCTCCTTGGTCCAGGTCAGCATGCTCATGACTCACATGCCCCTTGCAGTCACTCACCTCATCAAGGCATGAAATGTCCAGCAATTCAGGGCTTTCGGGCTCAACACACACTCTCGCAGAATTTCGAAAACCGCGATTCGAGGTCGAACGACGAAAATCACGATCAGCGGATGACATTCGAGATCGATTTCGGCGATGTTGTTCCGTTTTGGCGATCAAATCCTGAGGCTTCAGAGCTAAAGGATGGTCACTCCGTACTGACGCAAGCCAACTTACTGAGGCAAACAAGGTGGGTTTCAAAGTTACGCCATGCTTGCGGACAGTGATTCCGCCTTGCTGTACGCATAGCGTCGGTTCCCAACCACCGTTCTGACAAAGCAGATTGATGTTCAGCAAATTGTGCTTGATCTGATCGGAAATGACTGCCTCAAACCTAGCTTTACACATGTACACAGCGTCACTCTCATACTCAGAACTGCTCCTCGATGATGCTGGGGTGGTGGTTTCAAAGCAAACTTCCACCAAAACATGTGTTGATCCGCCAATCTCAACGGAATCCCCAGTCGCAGTCTCCGCATAGGACTTAGGGCGTCCTTCCAACCAACTCAGGATCTTCACGTGGTTGCTCTCAAGCGTCTCTCTCGTGATGATGTGGAACGAACTACCAGAGTCAATCAACCAGTAAACGCGATCATCTGAAGGAAAACTAACCACCTGGTTCGTGAGCATCATACCGAAGTGATATCCTTCCAGAAACGTCTTGATTGATGACTGTGCTTTTCCACTGCCTTTGGTTGTGGGCTGCAAAGGCCCCAAGAGCAACAAAGGCAACAAAGGCGAGAAAGGAGAAAAGGGACAGATGGGTGGCAAAGCGAAAGGAAAGGACAAGAAAAGTGACCAAGGCGGAAAAGGAGACAGAGCTCGGGAGCAAGAGCAGAAGCGAAGAAGACAGATGTCTGCCGGAACTGCGGGAAGACTGGACACTGGGCACGCGACTGCTGGGCACCTCCGAAGGACAAAGCCGCAGCGGCGACGAGCCAGGCCGTTACGACGCAGCCAGAGGCACCATCGTCTTCATCGTCTACATCGGCGAAAGCAGCAGCGCTTGTCTTACCACAGGCATTTTTCTCGCTGAATGGTAGCCTATACTCAGCAGCCAGCACATGTACCATCCTCAGAAGCCAGAGCCGCCTTGTCCCAGCAAGTGCCCACACAAACCACTCACCATACAGTGAGAGCCAACATTTCTTAGATAACCTCAGACATCTGCAAGGTTCCGCCTTGTCTGTGTGCACGAGGACGTGGATGTAAAACAAAAAAGTAGGCCTGCCATGTCCAGCAGGCTGAGAACTATTGGTTGCCTTTTATGGGAAAAGCGAGAAGATCGGGTAACCTCCATCTGCATCCTGTTTCGACCAATACCAGCCCATACGAACACTCAGCACGGAGCGAGGCCGAAGGAAGCTTTCTCGGGCTATTTGTCTGTCGGGAAGCAGCCACCAACAGCTGCCTTTGCCCTTCAACTTGCACTGCGTGAAAAACCGAAGGTCCCTCTGGTACCTTTTCCCTTGAAAGCACGAACCCTGACCTCTCACACAAGTGCGGACAACTCTCTCTTTTTCACAGTCAGAGCCACTTGAGCCACTTGAGCCACTTGAGCCAAAAGTCACGAAGTGCACAAACTAAACGAATTCTCTCTTGTGAGCTTAAACTCAGCTTCAGAACGAAGTTCCTACACACTGCACACTCACTTTAAATAGCGTATTGGGCAAAAACACACTCGTATGATTTCCTTGGAAATCAACGAGGCATAAACCATCGAGGATGGGATCACACGGATTCCCAATCACTCCGAAGCAAAACAAACCTATACAAGCTGATCCAAAACATGACAAAAACATCACTGATCAGCCACAATCTTCCACCCCCCGCATTTTGCTGAGGGTTCATGTCAAAGATCTGAAGTCCAAGCCCAGCTCGGCACTTCAACACTAAGGGGATGCCCTGGCCACATTCCCTTGGTGCGTACTCGCCACCAAACGAAACAAACAACACACCAGTCGATCTCTGACATCAAACTTAAAAACTCATGCAAGATCCCACCATCAGGCAGGTTGTCCTGGGTCCACATCACTGGTAACCCAAGAGTTCGTTGTCCAAACACGTGAAAAACGAATTAAACTTGCATCCACCTGCACTGGGGCAGGGTTGTCTTGGAACGAATCCAAGAGTTCGTGGTGACAAACACGTGAAAACGAATTAATGCAAGCTTCAGATGTTTCCCACTCAGCACTCGACCTTGTCGTGGTACTCCTCCTCAGTCTCGCATCTTCCAGGTCACCAAACTCACCAACTAGCATCGGCTAGCTGATCCTTCAGGAAAAGATTGGCTTCATAGTTTCGCTTCTTCCAGCGTACCATCAGCCAAAAACGTCTTCAGAGGTGGCAATCAGACGCCTTGCAGAAGGGGCTATAGAGTCCCTCGTTGAGTTTCATCATCATTTTGCCTCCTCTTTGCAAACTTCTCATGCACTGAAACAAGGGCTCACACTAACCAGAAAAATCGCGGGCGCTCCATGGCGGCAACGCGGCCATGGCTTCCAAAAAAATGGCTGCGGGTTTCACTCACCCACCCAACCACTGAGATCACTTAGCATCTCAGTTCATTCTTCATCCTCTTCGCCCTTCTTCTCGCCAGCTCCAGTTGACTCCATCAACTTGGCGCGGCGCTCCTTGGCGGCTTCCTTCATCTCCGCCAACTCAGCCGTCCTCGTTTCCATCATCACATCCTGCGAAGATCGGCTAGGCTCAGCTGGCGTCTCCGCAGGCCTCTCAGTTGGCTGGTCTCCAACCTTTCTCTTCTTCTCTTCCAACATCAGCTCCAAATCGGCAACACTAAAGCTTGCCTTCACACGCTCAGCAATCTGCGCGATAGCTGCTGCATCCAACTCAGATGGTACAACTGACACAGGCGAGCGAACCGCTTCGCCTTCCAGCTTTGCTCTCTTAGCAGCTTCTTCCTCGGCAGCTGACAGGTCGGCGATGCGCTTGCGCTTTCGCTCAGCTTCCTCGAACTCTCGGTCTTGCTGTTCCGCTGCAGCCTTGAGGATCCGCTTCAGGTCCTTTTCCTCCTTCTCGAGTTTCCCAACATTCTCACCCATGATCCCAAAGGCTTGCTGCCACATGTCGGCAGGCAACGTCAAGTTGAACCTCACCACATAGTCGGTCGGCAAGTGCCACTTACACTTGCAGATCCACACAACACCGCTTCGAGTCTCACTCGCAACCACCTTCTTCCAGCTTGCCGCCCTCTGCGTGTCGGTGATCTCCTCTTTCTTTTTCTCCAGGTCCTCCAAGAATCCTGCAACAGACTCCATCACGGATCTGTAGTGGCTGTAGGCCACAAACGACCACTTGGGGACTGGTCTCTCCCTCAGCTCCGGCTCGTGAATCCGAAGTGTATCACACGACAACATCGAAATCACTCGCACTCGCTCCACCAGTTCCTTAAACACCAAGGATCCTTCCTTTGCACTTCTCTTCCAGCGCAACACCCATGGGGGATAATACGAGCTCTCAGCTTCATCCTCCATGATCCTCTCTGCTCCCAAAATGGGTAGCATGCACAACAGATCCACCATCCGCAAGACTCCGAGGTCCTGGTGCTCACCCAGAAGCAAAACAGGGACTATCCCTTTTCTCTTCAAGTACCTCACGAAGCTCAACATCGCCAGGCCACACGTTCCCGGCGGTACTTCCATGTACAGTCCTCCTTCATTCACTGCCATCTCCCAGATGATGGCCTTGCCACCAATCTGTCCACGGACATCCAAGATTCCGAAGATCTTCGTGGGTTTCTCCTGTAGCTCACACACCTCCTGGATGGGCTTCACCAGCTTCTCGTATGAGCTTTGATAGCGCAACATATCCTTGTCGGATAGCGTGCCTACCACGTCCTTGAGCTCTAGCTCATCCACTGGAGTTCCGCGCCGGCAGATACTCCATGACACATCACCGAACCACTTCGGCGGCTCTGGATCCGCCAGCTCCGGAAACACGTCGACCATCCGTTCAATCACCTTCGGCATGGCCTTGGGTTTCGGTGCAGCTTGGCCTGAGCCTCGGCTTTCACCTTTATCACCCCTTTTTCCAGCAGCTCGGCGCTCCTTCTCTGCCTCTCGGAGATGGAATGCATGGCTTGCATCCGTGCCAGAGACTGTCACAGTCTGTTTGCACTTTTCGCACTTGGGCTTGCCACTTTCATCCCAGCTCAACCCGGCAGCATGCTCGGATCTGAACAACCATTTGCAAACCTTACACCAAAAGGGGCTTTTCATCTCAGCACCCTGCTCACCCTTCCTGCTGTCTTCAGCTGCCATTTTCCTGTCCTTCACCAAAGGTACAGGCTCCAGGCTAGGGCTAGCTTCCGTGGTGCTTGAACCAAAGCTTTTGCGGTTGGACCATAAATCCATTTCTTGAACCTCAGGGGAAGAGTCTTCACGAAGGGTTTCGGGACTTCTAAGGTGGAAATTTTCAAAAACTTCGCCACACTTTTTCACATTTTTCAACGATCCAACTTGCTCCACACTGCATCCAGTTGCCTCGGCACACTGGCATGCCTGAACTCCAACCCTTGGTCGGATTCCACAGATCC